TTAAATTCAGTAGCCGACGCCCTATCAGTATTACATATTGATTTTCGAGAAAAACCATATGCCGATTTTATTAAATTCAATTATCAAAATTAAGATTTAATCGATTATCCTATAATTTGGAAAATATATTCAAAATGGTTCCAAATATATTGCTATTTTCAAAAGATTTTGATGAATCCAATGCTCATTATGAAACGTTAAATCAAACATACGAGTTAAATAGAATCAATGTTGACGACTTAAAATTTTACGACACATTAGTATTGGAAAATGATACTTCAATTACATGTTCTAATAACTCATTTAAATCATTTTGAAAAACCATCTCCTAAGGATCTATTTTACGCTCTTCAAAACCTAAAGGCGAAAATCACTGACACAAATACTACTCTTTACCTAAAAAATCCAAGATCTTACAATCCTACTATTAAACACAATATACCAAATGAAGTAATTCTCTACGTATTTGATAATAATCATCACGTTCATAAAAGGTTGTATCAAGTGTCAAGAAAATAAAGTAAATCGTCATCCAATTAAAGCTCCAATGCATTTGAGAAAATCTTCTTAGATATTGTAGGACCTCTACCAGTAACAGAAGCAAGAAATAAATTTATTTTTATACTACATTCGCAATTCCCAATCATGAGTCAAAAACCATCGCCGACAAGTTCTGTGAATTTATTCTAATTTTTGGATTACCAAAAACTATTGTGACAGACAATGGTAAGAAGTAAATAGTATTTTTAAAATAAAACTTATTACTACGTCCGGTTATAGACATCGACAAGAACCAGAACCACTCGAGTTGAAAGCAGTTGTTGGTACCACTAACAAACCAGATGATACTCAGCAATACCGAAACTATCTGATGCCAAGAGGGCGACGATCAATTTCCAAAGGGAAATAAAATTATTCAATCAAATCAACCTATTGATTAATTTGAACGGGGGAGGAATATGTTATGTTACCTACGCCACTGTTTTGCTGCTACTGTCGCGCAACGAAACTGGAGTAGAAATCAAACGAGAAGAAGCCACGCGCTTTATCGTTTGTCTCACTTTAAATGGGAGGGACTTAGAGAAAAGGAAATCTGCTTTCTTTGTCAGCGCTAACGACAGTAGCTTCTTCTCGTTTGATTTTTACTCTACCACGCTTATTCAGCATTCCGCTCACTCAGCATAGTTATTAAGTTTCCATATTATACAGCTTTTTCCTCAGAGATCATTCTTGAATTAACCTCCAAACAAGATTGTCAATCGGGACTTTTTAACTTCAACTTTAATGTCAATCGCGACCTAATTATTGTTAATCGGGTTTTAGTACTAATAGGTTACGTTTTGATGTGTAATTATTTAATAAACGTTACAACGGAATAAATTGTTGCCAAGAGACTTGTTTCTTCTCCCTAAATAAAAGAAGTCAACAAAGCTCCTGAAAAATAAATAGTTTATTGATGCCTTTATTTCTTAAATGAAGCTTGGTATGACCTCTTGAAGATGTGCTTCTCAGTTGGAAATTTTTTATTGTCACTCGGTATAATACTAAAAAAGATTTCTACAGGTGTCCGGTTCCTCAAACTGCTCCTAACGCTTGATAATACTGACACTATTGGTTTTAACAAAAAAGATGATTGATGAACGGTGAATGAAAGTTCTTTATTCAACATTATTAAAGGGATATGACCCAAAAAAACAACTTGAGCTACTCAAATCAAGAAAAAAAATCTAAGATCTCTCGTGAAAACCGCAGTCCTATCGTCGAAATTGTATCCGAGGAAATCCCTTATGCAGATAAATTATGCGGGAAATTCTGACGTCACACCGGCTAACCGCCGAAATTGCAGCCTTCTATTCGTTCAGTCGTCAGTGAACCGTGCCCTATACTTTGAGTGGTCGTAATTCGCCGCTCTGATGAGGTTCCTGACTTTTGTTTTAAAAAAATTCTAACACGTGTTAATACGGTGTCTAAAGCCGGTGTGACGTCACAGCTTAAGCGTTCGTAACTTTTTTGACTTGTGCCTTTTCTCTTTTGTCTTGATACCGGAAAAGGTCGTCCAGTCAGATTTTTAAAATCTTGAAAATCTTAAAACTTTGTCTTTATTTTTGGCCATCGAGCCCATAGTTTTATAAATTGACTAGCCAGAAGAGTGATTAGTCGTGTCAGCTAGAACGTTTCTTGTAAAATCAATCGATTGTTGATTTTTTTGAAGATTTTGGAAAGTAAGGTTACTATCGGCCGTACAGGTATGTAAATCCCTTTTTCTCTCTGATGAATGAGTCCTTATATTTTCTCAATTCATTCAGGCAACTTTGGGCAGGACGAAAAAAATCCGTGACTGCACCTATCCAAGTGAAAATTGACCAATTTGAGACTATGCTGTTCTGCATCTCAAAGTAAATCTGGGCTCCCTTTTCAAAGAATGTTGGTGTCCTGTAAGAAGTTGATCCCCAACCATTATTTGGTTGCCTCCAGCCAGTTTGGTACTTCTAGATCTCAAATTTGTGAAAACTTCCAAGGATTCCGTCCAAGCTTGTATAATTATTTACCTATGGGTCCTTTAAATGTGCCATATTAATCACCGTAACTTACCTTTTCTTTATCGCTCCCTATCGATTAGCTTTATTAGCTAATTAATATCTTTGTAAATATTAATTACCGTTACTTATTATTATCTTTTTTTCTATTGCCCCCTATCGTTTAACTCCATTAGCTAATTAATATCTTTGTAATAGTTATTTACCTAATAAATGCGGAAAGTGATACTTTACCGCACGCAACAGCAGTTGACCGAACGACGCGAAGCGGAGTTCGGTCAAGCCGTTAAGGGCGGTAAAGGCATTTTCCGCATGTGTTAGGTACAAAATTTTACCTATGAGCATCTACATCTACGAAAAAAGGCATTAATACAATTAATTAATGAATCAGAATAATTAATGAAATTAGAATAGATTTAGAAATGATCAAAAAGCCATTTCATGAAAAAGAAAGGATTTTTAATCACAAATACCAAAGTCTACTTTACCGCATACTATGCGGTAAAGTTAACTTTACCGCACACTTTGCAGTCCACTTTACCGCATACTATGCTGTAAAGTTAACTTTACCGCACACTATGCGGTAAAGTAACTTTACCGCATAGTGTGCGGTAAAGTGCTACTTTCCATTTGCAAATAAGTACGGTAAAGTGCACTTTATCACACGCTCGTAGGTAAAATCATTTACCGACTCGTTTACCGTATAGTAGTATTTAGCTATAATAGCCAAATACTGTTTAATATAATTATTAATTTATTTAATCAATTATTATCATAATCAGAAATTTACCTTTATTATCATTTTCTTTATCATTATCATTATCCAATAAATATGGATTATTATAATTATTAAAAATTTATTTCTTTTATATCGAATACTGATCGATATAATATATTGTGGATTCATTAACCTTTAAAGGGTTAATTTAACTCCTAATTTCAAATCAATAAGGTGGTAGTTTTATAAAATAAACCAATGTGAAATCTTTAGGTACCTAGTTAAAGTTAAGTTTTATGTTTACATATTTTGAATTTTAATTACAGGTAAGACGATAAATCTCTCCCCGATATCCTTGATTTCATATAGCCCGTCTTTGGCATTTATAACTCCCTAGGGATTGTTTATTATACCTTTCTGCATTTTTAAATTTGTTTTTTATTGATTTGATTGACTTTGAGTCCAAAATTAAAGGTTAATGGTATAATGATTTCAACAGTAGTTATACTTAGGTAAATCAAAGGTATCTATTTAATTGTTTTTAAATTTCAATCTTTTTGTATGCCTATTTAAATTAAGTTTTGCTTTTGGAAAGCTGCTTATTTAAAAAAAAAATAAAATTGGATACTGAACAATATTCCCCTTTGAACCGTTGAACCACAAGTTCGCCATCTTGTCAACAAATTTTTAATGAACAACAGTTTGACATTTGGTTAATAAATTATTGTTTTTAGAAATCCAAAACTTGTGTTTTGGAATGGGTTAAATGTCAGATAGCTATTAGATTTATTTTCCTTTTCAGATTTTTGCATTTATCTTTTTAACCCTCGGGCAGGCGCGCTATCGGCCTTTTATGCCGCCTTTTTTACTAGTTCAACGATTCCGCAAATATTGTGGATTTTATCATATTGTCTGTCTAGCTATGTTCAAATGAATATATCAGTAAACCTACTACGCACAATTTACGACCTTAGAGCGCTTGTTCAGATGTCAGTGAGTTCTTGAACTTGCAGGTGTTAAGTTTTCGGCATTCCGTACCGCCAGCGCGCCTGGTCATGTAAGTAAAATTACAAGCGGCATAGTAGAAATATTATGAATATCATTTTTGTGTTTTTGCGAAATTAGTATGAAGGATTTCATTTAGATGCCTAGAATTACAATTTATTGTATTTTTTCACTCTATATAAGAATAAATTTTGATGTTTTGAATTATTTCGTATGTTTTTCTGCTGGAGGCACGCAGTGCCGCAGCGCGCCCAGTGATGTGATTTTCAAATGCGCGCCTGCCCTAAGGTCAAACAATAACTAATTATTGGAATAGTGTCTAGTTTGGCTATTCTTTGGTAATCAAAATAATTTATACAAACTAGTGGCGCCCTCTCTCTACTGTACCAACACCAAGGACCACCCCAAGCTAAACAACCACTGAGCCTAGTCGAGCACAGATTATGAGCATTCTTTTGTTTCGACAAAAGAGCGTTACAATCTTCCAAACGATTTAGTGTTTTTCTCTGATCTTTCTTTCCCAAACTCATTCTTTAATATTTTCATCGATATTAAAGTAACGCATAATTCTTTATTGATGGTAATTTGTCTCTGCATTATTAAATGAACATGAGAAATACCGATGTCAATCAGAAGTAATTTATAACTACTAGTACAAGAAAATTACCCACGTTTCATATTTTCAATTTGCTCAGAATTTTATTCTCTACAAAACCTTTCTAATCACATCATTATTCCAGGTACGCTTATGGCCATATCCAATGGCATGGCATATGGATGGAGCGCTCCAATGGTACCATATTTACTCAGCAACCAGACACACATTCCCATAACTCGTGCAGAAGGGGAAAGACTGGAAACGATGTTGTTCATTGGAGCGGCCGCCGGCTTACCAACCACAGTGTTTGTCGTTAACTATTTTGGCAGAAAAGGCTCTATGCTATTATCATCAGCAGTGGGCTGTATCTACTGGACAATGATACTTACCACCGATAAACTATGGGTGATCTACATTGCTAGATTTTTAAGCGGCATGGCTGGTAACATGTGTTTCATCGGAGCCCCTATGTATATAGCTGAAATTGCTGATCATAGAATAAGAGGCTTTTTATCAGCATCCATCTATATTATGCTCTTGCTTGGTATTCTCACAGTATACGCTGCAGGAGCATTGCTGCCATTTTATGCTGTACCGACAATTGGTATCGTAATAACCAGTTGTGAAGTTATATTATTCCCGATTATGCCCGAAAGTCCATATTTTTACATCTACAATAACAAAGATGAAAAGGCAATGACTTCTTTGAGGCGCCTTAGGCCCAAAACTGCCAATATTGAAAAAGAACTAGCAGAAATCAAAATGGCCGTGGAAAGACAAAAAACGGAGAAAGGCAGGCCTCAAGATTTATTACTTATACGTAGCAACAGATATGCTTTGTTAATAATGTTGCTTCTTAACTCAATGGAACACCTTGTGGGAATAAGTGTGATAATGATGAATGTTCATGTGATTTTAGAAGAAGCTGGTACCGTTTACATGAAGTCTTCCACGGCCGCTATTTTATTTGCTGTGATTATGTTGTTAGGCGCCCTATGCGGCTCTGTGATAATAGATAAGTTTGGAAGAAAATTTTTATTAATTACTTCAGGCTCGTTAACTGGAATTAGTTTACTGATAACGACCATATATTTTCATTTAAAAAATACTGGTCATGATGTTCTGTTTGTCAGTTGGATACCAATTGTATGTGTCATGTTCTACGCGGCCACCTTTAAGTTGGGTCTTGGTATTGTGCCCATTGTGATGACTGCAGAAATTTTTCCAACAACGATTAAAGCGATAGGTGAGTAGGTACCCATTTTATAAAGATATACATAGGTTTAACTTACTTAGGTCAAATATTTTAGAAAAAAAAAGTCGCCTCCTATTTGTTTCGAAACTCTTATTTACATTGGGTACATTCAGGTGGTCCAAGCGGCTGAGACTGCTTAGTAAGAGTGAGAAACCCAAATGAATGTAGCGCTGAGTAAAAGCTTTACGTCAGCGGCTTAGTGTTTTGCTCAGCTTAGAAAATTGCCGCTTTTTAAAAAGCGGATTGCGGGGTATTTCACATTTAGACAATAATGCCTTTCAAACTAAAATATATATCACGCTACTTGGTACTAGGAAAATTCGAATATGTTGCTGTTGTAAATTGCCTTTACTGCTAAAGCGATTGGCAAATGCGAATATATTACAGATGATTGAAATGAGAAAAATATTACTTATGGATTGGGTTTTTTTGACATTTGATTCGTTCGTTGTAGCCACGCATTCAACAGAAACGAAGCCGCTTTATAACAGCATCCACAACTGCTAAGAACATAGCCACTAGCAGCGCCGCCCTGAATGTACCTACCAAATGTAAAGTCCGTCGATCTTAATCTAATACTCCAAAGGAATGTGAGCTGGTGGCTCCTTACATTAGAACGCCAATGTTCACCTGACGTCGCACCTGTTTTTGCCATATGCTTCACCCTCTCGCACCTCATACGGAAAGTGTCAGATTAAAAACGACGGACAATATACGGGTGGAATTTTTAAATAGAATAAATTCAGTATCAGATGCCCTGTTTTTTTACTGGAAAAATTTTAAAAAAACGGTTCCCTTTATTTTTAGTTTGGCACATTTTTTCGGCCTTTTTATGGAATTTACCCCTCTCTTGAGGGTAGAAACCACCCCCAACTTTTTTTTTTGAAATGTAAAGATATGTATTGTGATAGCTCGTTGGAATGGGCATAAAAAAAATATGACCCATTATTTACTTTTGCATTTCGGTGATGTAATTATGTAATTATTTTTGACATTAACACACTATTTTAGGGTTGAGAATCCGAGTATCAGTCATCAAATAGTGTGTTAACGTCAGAAATAATTACATAACGTTTCTATGAAAAAGAAATGCTGAAGATATTCAACAATTTTAACTGATATTTAATAGATATCCATCCAATGATTTTATGGTCTAATCGTTGATAAGATAACTGTTTCTTAGTTCAATGTTCTTATGACTTGCAACGCTGTTGAAAATTTAAAACAAATTGCAAAAAGTAGGCATCTGTTTTAAAGTTTGGTTGCCGACAAATTTTTATTATGAATGTCTTTCAAGAATATGTGATTATGGTTCTGCATTATTATTGGGTTATTTTTTTCAAAAATGAATTCAATTTGCCTATTTTAGAAATACAGATTGATCATTCTGCGAATTATTGATACATAACTTAAAGCAAGTATTCCTGATTTCAATAATTTATTTAATTTTCTAGGTATGACTATTGCAGATCTTTTCTACGTGCTAGCCGCCATAGCTTCCTTGGAGATGTATTCAGCTCTGTTCGATAATTTTGGAATCCATGCAGCATTTTATCTATTTACTGTATGTAGTTTTGGAACGGTACTGCTGGTATTTTTATTTATTCCCGAAACCAAAGGTAAAACTCTCGAAGAAATCCAATTGATGCTTAAAGGACGTCGAAAAAGCGAGGTTTACCATTTGGAAGCAACTAATTGTGATAATTTGTTAGTTAAATAAACTGATTTGCTTATTTTATTAGTTAATTGCTTTGTTTTTTTTTTTATTCTAGCTTCTAATGCGTTTCTTTATCTCCTGACTAGCCTTTTGAATGCTCTATTGCAACATTATCATTTATCTTTCCATTCCAGAATTTGGATGTTTATTTTAGACCATGGAGCGACTTTTTATGTTTTAATGCTTTACATTTTATTTTGTCTGGCAGATAATCGTATGTACAGTGTGTCCCGCTTAAGTACTGACCACCCTTCTAAAATTTTTATTTTTAAACCGATTCAATTCATTTTTTCTTTGTTTTATATCTACTCGAATTTGACACTTATTTGGCTCATAATTTTATTTCCGCAGCTGTACTGGTATACAGGGTGTCCACATTTATACGCTCAAATTTCAATAAGTAGTATTAGGGATTTTTTTTAGAAAAAATCTGATAGCAGATTCTTGCTTAGAATGGTCTAAAACCCAAATGTACTAATTTTTGTTCCGATTTGATACAACCCAATAAACATTTTTCGCAACTTATAGTAACGTCAAGTTATATAATGGGTATATAATAGTAACAAAGGTTTACAAGAAGGTTTACAAGTTTTATAATCTGCAACCTATGGTAACATAGTTTTATAAAGTATTTATAAGCTTACTATAACTTACAGGTATGTAATAAGGTGATGTAAATATTTCCATCACCATTTTGTAAAACTTTTAGTATCCGTTACTAAACTATTTATAAGAAATTTTTATAAAGGTTACCATAACCTCATTTATATAACTAGAATACCCCCAGTTATATAGAAGTGTTGTCAATCACCTTTATAAAACTTGGAAACTAGTAGTGTTTGCAGTATATGTTATAAAACTTTTGGTAACGATAATTTCTTTTATAAAACCTTTAGTAAAACGAAACTACCTAATTTGACATATTATTATGAGAATAATCAGGTGTCTGTTGCTGTTTATTATTGTTATAAAAAATCTGTGCATAATGATTTTGAAAAAAATGAAGTTCAGCACATCATTTCGCCGAAAAATTTCAAAAAACTTTAATAAAATCTCAAATTCAGTGCCCTTAGTATCTTCCACAAGGACACTATACACAAGTTTCTAGACAAGAAAATAAATTACTTGAGGGAACTGATAAACATGATGATTATAGCAATAACACTATTTTGAGACCAAAATTGCCAATACCGGCGCTGACGGCATCTGGTTAAAAGTTAAGTATATAATGTTACTAATAGTTATAAAATATAACCTTAGGTGATATTATAGTTTCCAGAGTTTATATTGTTACTAAAGTGATCCGCCATTATTTTTCTACCCAAAATCATAATAATAAAAAAGATGCGTTGCAAAAACACTAGGTTTGGCTGATTTTGATGCAAAATATACAATAATTGTTTAATACTGGCATATGCAAAACGGAAATGAAAATAATTTCTTCTTGAATCTCATTTTAATTAATATTTATAGGTGCATATTTTGTGAGAAAATTGATTTGAAATTAATAAAAAGTGAATATTTCAAGGGCCCCTGCGTTTTTTCGAAGTACCGGTTCTACTTTTGCAGAAGAAAAAGTTTCCCAACTATATTTTGAGTCTACCAATGCTGTAAAATTATAACAAAGTACCATCGTTTTCTAATAGGTAAATAAATATTATTATTTGGACTCCATATTTGTTTTTATTTAGTAACGTAACAGACATCTTGAAATAGAATTGTGGGAATAGAATAGTAGGAGACCCTTTAAAGCAATGTATTTGAGAGAGAGATAATATGTATTTATAATGATGACAGAATTGACAAAAGTTATATAGTGGTTACCACAATATTCCCGTTACCAGTGGTTACATAAATTAAAGTTATATACCGTTACTAAACACAGGTTTTCGAAACCTTTATAAACGCTCAATTTAAGCTCTTTAAAGGGTTTATAGGAGTAACAGAAATATTTCCGTAAATGGTGTAACATTTGAAATGACACAAGAACATATTTAATTGTTCTTAATTAATTTCATATATTAAGGACTCATTTAAAATTTAAAAGCTAGCGCGTTCCTACTCCTTATGTCTTTACCTGCTCTATGTTTAAAATACTATTCCGTACACCTGGCGACATCTATGATTTTTCTGACTAGTTTCCTAACCTAATAACGAAAATTTTGTTATTGAGAGATGCGTTCGGCTTGCTCACTCCGTTCACTTCGAGTGACTTCATTCGCTCTCCAGCTGTTCGGGTACTGCTTTTTACCATATTGCGGGTGACTCCATTAGTTTTGTTCACTCTACTCCAACTCCGAACCTACCTAGGTTTATTTTTTTGAAAACCGGTAGCGCTGTCATTTTTATAATTTCGACAGGCTTGACAGAGGAAGAAAGACAGAAGCATCTGGGTACTTTCGACTTGTTCTTTGCTATTTTGTCGTAGGACCGAAAAGGTCGTCCATTTTCTTAATTAAAAAAAAAAAAAATCCAAAAAATTTTATCTTTATTCTTGGCCATCGAGCCCAAAATTATTTAAATTTAACTAGCCAGAAGAGCGAGTAGTTGTGCCAGCTGGAACGTTTCCTGAAAATTCAATAGACTGTTGATTTTTGTGTAAATTTCTGAAAGTGAGGTTATTATCGGCCGTTGAGGTATGTAAACCCTTTTTCCCTTTAATAAATGAGTCCTTATATTTCTTCAATCCGTTCAGGCAATTTGGGAGAGTATTAAAAATCCACGCCTACACTTCTGGGTGAAAATTTGACGAATTTGAGACCATGCGGTACTGCATTTCCAAAGTAAGTCTGGGCCCCCTCTACAAGGAAAGTTGTGTCTTGTAAGAGATTGATCCCCGACCATTGGATGATTGCCTTCCGTCAGTTTGGTGCTTCTGGATCTCAAATTTCTGAAAATTTCCAAGGATTTCGTCCAGGCTTGTATAATTATTTACCTATCGGTCCCATAAATGTGCCTTATTAATTACCGTTACTTATTATCTCTTTTCTACTGCTCCCTATCAATTAGCTTTATTAGCTAATAATTATCTTTAGAAATATTAATAACTGTTAATCATTATTATCTTTTTCTTTATCGCCCACTATTGATTAGCTTGATTAGCTAATTAATATCTGTATAAAATCAATTACCGACTTGTTCACCTTATTTTAGTATTTGGCTAAAATAGCTAATTACAGTTTATTGTAATTTTTTATTGATTAACTAATCATTATCGTAATCAGATGACTGCCTTTATTATCGCTTTCGTTATCTTTATCTAGTATCCAATCATTATGGATTATTATAATTATTCCAAATTTATTTCTTTTGTACCGAATACTAACCGATATAATAGATCTAGGATTCATTAACTTTTAGAGGTAAATCTGACCTTTAGTTTCAAATCAATAATGTGGTAGCTTCACAAGGTGAACTAATGTAAAATCTTTAGGTAGTCAAATTTACGTTTTATGGTTACCTATTTTGAACTTTAAAGGTAAGAGCTCTTCCGGAAACCGTGAAGCCTTGATTTCATGTAGCAGGTTTTTGATATTTAAAACTGCCTAAGGATTATTTATTACCTTTCTGCATTGAATAAATTGTTTTCTATTGATTTGATTGACTTTGGGTCAAAAATTAAAGGTTAATAATATTGTGACTCCATCATTTGTACTTAGGAAAATTTCATAGTAGGTATCTATTAATTGTTTTTGAATTTCAATCCTACTATACTTATTTAAATTAGGTTTTGCTTTTAGAAAGCTGCTTAACACGTTCGCTGCCAAGTACGAGTTAACTCGTAGTAGACAATCTTATTACAGGTGCCAGCTACGAGATGACTCGTATTTTGCATTGTGTCGTTCAAAGTCAAGTACGAGTATATTCGTTGTAAATACAGGTTAATGGGGGTGCCTGGCCTACGGGACATGTATAAGAATATCACGCAGACATAGTTGAACCAAAAAAATTTCGTGTTAATGATTTAAAAAAAAAATAAAACTTGGATACTAGACAATATTTTTCTTAGAACAATAGAAAAAAGTTCGCCATATTGTCACAAATTTTAATGACATCTAATTAATAAATAATTGTGTTTAGAATTCCAAAGCTTGTGTTTTTATTGAATGGGTTGAATGTCAGATAGCTATTGGATTTTGGATTTATTTTACCTTTTTCAGATTTTTTTGAATTTATCTTTTTAAACAATAACTAATTAATGGAATAGTGCCTAGTTTGGCTATTCTTTGGTAATCAAAATTATTTATACAAACTAGTGGCGCCCTCTCTCTACTGTACCAACACCAAGGACCACCCCATGCTAAACAACCACTGAGCAATAGTCGAGCACAAATTATGAAAATTCTTTTGTTTCGACAAAAGAGCGTTACAATGGATATAAAACCTTAAGTTATATAAAGAAGGTGATATAACATTTACGGTAAATATTATAAAAACAAAAATGTTTATTGGGACAAATTTTCAAAAATATTATTGAAACTTTCCAGTAAGTGCATTTACCACTTAAAAAACACAGTAACTGTAAAGCAATTACTAGGTTTAATAACAGATATTGGCATTTACTGTGTTTTATTCTAATAAAATATTCTAAAATACTTGAGTTTTCACCAATTTAAATAAGGAATTATGTGAGATGGTACCCAGTAACTACAAAAATTACGTAAACACATTTTTTCAGAAAATATCGGTTACTGTGTTTCTACATGGGACAGTCGAGTCAGCCGAGATGGAAACTGGAATCTATCCAATCCCTTAAAGCAACACCATCAAATGGTACACAGACGGTTAAAAAACTGCTGAAGGAACTGGAGCCGGAGTATTCAGGCCACAAACCAGATACTCGGAGCCAATGGGAAAATGAACAGAAGTTATCGGAAACGAGAGATTGTAATAATATCTGACAGCCATGCAGCTGTCAAAGCATTGAGATCCCAGTTATCAATTCTAAGACAGTATGGGCATGTCTGCAGTAACTAAATGAGCTCGGAAAACAAAATAAAGTAATCCTCCTCTGGGTTTCCGGAGACATAGGTGTCGAGGGCAACGAATACGTAGACAGAGGCCAGAAACATTTTGCGGCGTCGGCAATGCGTACCTCAAAGAATTCCTCAAAAAAGAAGAGAACCGGCTAAGAAACAAACAATGGCT